GGGGGGGGGGGGGGAGAGGACACCCGTCGTCGTGAAATTAATCGGCAAACGCATTCACGTTCTAGAGAGGACAGACGAGAGAAATGAAGGGAGTGAAAGGAGAAGCTGAGGAAGGAACGCCCGCGAGACTGTAAGGACCGAGTTAATCCGGCTAAGTATTATTTAGAGGCACGGCCAGTGACAAGTCAATTTAATTTATATCTCGACGGCGGCGACGCCGGCACCGGCGCCCGAACTCAGAAATACTCGGACCACTAAATATCTCTTCAGGGAACGTTTACGAGTGTTGCTCGGCACTCTGGAGATCTTCCAAAAGTCTTAAGAAGTGTCAGCCGTTTTATGATAACTTCGCTCGCAGACGTATCGTCGCTTAATATCAATTTTGTCAATGGCAGACGTCACCGTGAACAAAGATTCGTATGTAACTAGGACACTTGGTACCGCGCACTGTATAATAATCTGTCCCCTTACAAGGAATAGCTCAGGCTATCGCGTTCCAAATGCTAACAATCAGCGACGAGCTGCTGATTCACAGTAGGTTTAGTGAGTTCGTCGCGACAGGTTCATTGTCTTAGGGGTGCTTCGGGATTATTCGACAGGAGACCCTGCAACCCCCCAGAGCGAGTCACTTGACTCCTCCCGTTCTATTTGTACAGGATCCACAGTAACGCTAGGGTCCCTAGATATTCCATTCGGGGTGAGCAAAAGCCATCCGAGCTGTCGCGAGTATGCGGAATGAACGTATCGTATTTTACTCACCCTATTCATTTATGAAACAACAGCAAAGCACGGCCGACCTCCGCAATCAAACAACGATCACGCCCCGTAATGACTGAGTGACTGCTGCTGCTGCTGCTGCTGCTGCTGCTGCTGTTACTGCACTCTCTACGGGGTGGCTCGGAACCACCGCTAGAAATGGGGTTTTGAAACAGCTGCGAGTGACACCCCCTTGTATGTCCTCAGCTCTGCCGTAGCGTTCAGTCTCCCTGTACCCCATATACCAAGTGCCACGACACCCCATACATAATTACTACGACTCTACACACACACCCCGGGACCCCCTTAGCCAAAATTTGCATTATTGAGCCCCCAAGCCGGAGGGTTGAGGGCCGTTCCTGAACTCACTTTCCTTCGTACCTACGAATCAGACAGCAAAGCGTTCTGGGAAATCGTCCTCGAGATTATTAAGGAATTAATAACTTCAATTCCGTCTACTGCGAGACAGGGAAACTGCGAGAATTACTAATTTTCGGATAATCATATGGTAACGTGTACGAGCCGAGTGATACTTCCTTTGTTAGGTGACAATGTATATGTATGATATACTGTAGTAATGCCTGTATATACATTGTAAGGCCACTCTTTATCTATCCTTTCAAGATGCCTTTAATCCCTATACTACTGCCCAACGCTTTCGTAACTAAATGAAACTTTATTAAGGCTCTTACGTAACCCTACACTCGTCCCCATAGCTTTTACGCGGATACTGCCCGCTGAAGGAACTTCCGGTTATATTCCCCAGATCGGATCTCTCTTTTCTATATTTAGGAGACGAGAAGACTCGCATTGCTATACCATGATTCTATGAAGGAAAAAAAGAAGAAAATAAAATGACTAGAGGTTTATAGAAAACAGCGGGAAGGCTATTAGGCAAAGGGATAAGGAGCGAATGGATGGTATGAAAGAAGAAAAGAAAAAAAGAGGTAAAAAAAAATGGTAAATAAATGCTTCCTTCTCCCGCAGTCATTTACTTGGCCAAGAAACAATCAGCGTCGTTATGGGAATAACGAAGGCGTATGCGCGCGATTCTAACAACGAAAGGATTCCAAGAGACAAGCATTACTTAAAATGTCAAAAACGACTGGGCACATAATATTTCGAATGGCGAGATAAAATCAAATTAAAAAATATCGTCGTTCGGATATCGAGATGGGGATGTACCTTAATTATGAATATTGTGCGGGAAGCATCTGTCGCTCGATGGGGGGTCGGGGGCTTGGACACCGTGGTGGTATTGGACTCAACTCCGTGCGTATAGCTACGCCATGAATGGTGGCTGCAGTCCTATGGTGTAACGTGAACCCAAACGAAATGAAACTGATATGTATGTAAATCATGGGTATTTCTATGTATGAGCTCCGAACTGAGCACATAACACGTACGTTACTTGTATTCCCTGTATATCGGACACAGGCGTACCATTGTAAATAAATTTATGATTCGTGTTGTTGTTACCGTCATCGAGTCGAGGAAATGAGAGGGCATTTATCGGCGCTATCTCCTGCAGCTACGGTCATGCAATATGACATTTCGCGGGGCACAATCGCTACAAATCAAACGACGACACTCTCCCTTGCAACGGCTATTAACTATTGCACGAGTGTTATCTTTTGTGTACACCCTGGATTAGTCATTATACGGATAACTTCGTGTTTGCATATTCCACCCTCGATATTTACGATTCCGATGTGTTTCGATACGGGACTACATTCGGTCTTTGACTAACGAGATAAAATCTGTGTCACATTTATACGTGACATGCCTATACACAATTTAGTGAAATAAATCATTATGTCGAATGGACTATACGTATAGAGTACGGGATACCTTATACAAGTCTATAGCATTGATAAGTAATAAT